GCCAATCCTAGTTATTATTTCCCTACCTTCATTCTGGGAAAAAAAAAAAAAAACAGACATAATTTATCACAAAAGTAGATGACAATTATTTAGGCAACACTCATGTGGGAGGAAAGAGAAACATACGAACACAATAGAAAGAGACACAAAAAAAAATTTAAAAAAACAAAAAAAAATGAATTAAAATGCGTTTGAATATATAATATTGGCACAAAATACCTACCGCTAGAAAAGAAAAGAAAAATAAAAAAGGGACTAATTTACACAGGAAAATATGAGTGCATACAAGATCAATATTCTTCTCCAATGTAGTTTATTCCATACTCAAGACCAATATTTGAACTCCGAATAACTTGATTAAGGAAACAGTTGCAACCAATGTTGGCCACATATCCAACCATTAAGTATAAGTTTCAATTAATTAAAACAAATTAACATTTTGAAAGAACATCTAATCCTGAAACGACATCAGACTCAAAACAATTAATTGAACTGTCAAATCGAATCCATAAATCTATTCCGTCAGGAGCAAAACCGCTTGAGTTGGGTAGGAGTATTCTTCTTCCAAGTACATGACACAACATACTCAAAACTCGAAGGTGAGACTATTGATTAAGCTGAATAACCTTACGCAACCACACTAGTTATGCGTGATGGGTGGTATTTTGTCTTCTAATTTAACATAAATTGAAAAGTAGCCACTTTTCATATTCAATAACAGACGTTTATAGTGAGCCTATGAATGTAAAAGAAGTAGCTGTTGGTAAACAAAACATGAGAGAGTGCGAGGTTTTGGAAAAAGTAATGAGAATGAAAGTGAAGCGTATATATAGAGAGAGAAACCTGGAAGAAGGGGGAGAGAAAAGGCCTAGCGAAGATATGGAGACGAGGGAAACGAGTCATTTCGAAGAGACAGAGGAGGCGCGTGGTGGCAGTTGCGACTTCATAAACATTTGAGACAGCACAGCACAAAGGTAGCTTATGCTGAGGATGTTCTTCGAAAAGGGTTTTTGGCGCTGAGTGAGTGAGGCAGCCACAAACGCAGAAACGGGGCGTTCTCACGCTCAAAATTTAAGAGGGTTAATATTTTATACATAGAATAAATTCACCTATTTTCATAGCCATTTTTTACTTTTTTTTCTTGTACTATCTGTCAAAAAAAAAATTGCCAAGCAGTATTTTAAATTTTTCACCACATTATTTCTCTCTCTCTCTCTCTCACAAGACTTATTGTTACTCTTTTACTTTTCTTAATAATTTATAAATGAAATTTGTGGCATGAAAAAATATTACTACACTTTAATTTTCGATTCATTATTAACCGATTAAAATTCACTTTTTTATAAAATAATAATTATAAAATCAACAATTTTAAAATATCTAACATACAATTAGATAATATTAAAATTAAATTAAAAAGATATGTAATATTTTTCTTTTAAAAAATAAAATTATTTGTTTTTTTAAAATTAAAACTATGGACCATATCGGGTCTTGGGTGGTGGAAGCGTTGACCGGTCTTTCCCACCCCACGAACGACCCTTCTCACCTCTCTCTCTCTCTCTCTCTCTCTCTCTCTCTCTCTCTCTCTCTTCACAATAAAATCCGATTTGCGTTTCACAGCACACCAAATCAAAGTCAGAGTGATGAGAGCAGACATGGCGGCGTCTACGGCGATCTCTCAGCTATCCTGCTTCTCCGCCGTTCACCGTAGCTTACACCTCCGCCGCCGCTCGCTTCTATGCCCTTCCCCTCGCTCCAAGGTCTTTCACCTCTTTTTTATTTTCAATTTCTTTTGTCACTGTCTCTTGTAACTCATTAGGGTTCCCGTGTAGCCACAATTGCGTGAACCTAGCACGCGAACGTAGAAGGTACCATATAGATCTAAAGCGGCGCTTCCTAAATCATACGTCGCCAACGAAAGTTTAAACTGACAGTCGTTGAAATAATTTAACTGAATTCTTGTCTCCAGAAATTTATGTCCAATTAGACGTTGTGTTAGAATCACAATTGTTATCTAGATTCTCCGGGAGGAGTTTCGTTCAATAAAATGAATTGCCCCACTGTATACATTTCGTGCATGTTTGAATTAGTTCGTGTTATTTGCGGCTTGTGGATAATTTATTTTATTGATAGTTTTTCTCAATTAGGCTTTCCCAAACATGATTTAATGTCGAAGATATTCATACAGTCGGTTTTTTCTGATTTTGTTGCTTTTAGTCGTTTTGTATTACTGGAAAAAGAGAAGCATCGTTAACATAAACCCATTACAATTATGAATTCCATAAGAAAAATAAAAAAGCTGCCTGTGGTTACCTTAGGCAATTTTTTTGTGATCACCGGAAATATTATGAGCAGTCTCCTTCATATGATGTGGTTTTTATTTATGTATTTATTTTGATATGGATCTGTGACAGTTATTATTATTATTGTGTGTGTATCGTGTTCCTCTTGTGACTTGTTTCCTTTTGGCATCATTCTGCCCTCTACCTTGGGTTCCTTCTAAGTTCTATCTGTTGACTTTATTGATGTTGAGCACATGGCACGAGACACATAATCTACTACTTTCAAATTATGTATAGACATGTTTCTCTGCAAGTACTGGAACGGAAAGCTTTATTGAACAAATATGCTTGTATTACACAACTTATAAGTATGTAAGGAAGTGCTGAAAATTTATATGATCACGTATTCAAGTTGGCCTTAATGATGATAGATTGACATGTTTCTCCACATTTTGGGGAAATTCATATTAAGTCTATATGCTTAAACATATCTCTCTTTTGAATAACACAGCATGAATAATATGAGCATGTTTGGGAAACATAATTTCGGCTGTTTTTTTTTTTATTTTAAAAAAAGCTGGATGTTTGAAACAACAGCTTAAATTTGTATTTTTTTTTTCTGAAAAATAAGATGTTTTCTTTAATTTGAAAATTTGTAGCTTATAATTATTTTTTTAATATTTTTTTATCTCTCACAACTGATTTACTACATAAAAGTTGATTTTTTGTTGTATCCAAACAAAATTCAATATTTCAAAATTGCTTTTTTGGAAATTTACTCAAAAATTCATTCCGATTATAATTGATTATACAATAATTGATTTTTGCAATAATCCAATTTTCACAGCTTTCCCAAACACACTATGTTTCTGTTTAATAAAAGTTTGCTAGAGCAATTATTTGATATTGATACTAAACAGGAAGCATATCTAATATAGTTATCAGTTGTTATGAGTCTGGAGAGGCATGACACAGATACTGCTGGATCTGATACCAAAAATACACTAAGTTATGCAGCTGATGTGTCAAAGCTACATGTCCAAGAAAAGCAGAATTCATATTCAACAAAAGACAACCATGATGCAGAAAAAGTAGGGACTAAAGAGGCAACTCAGGAAACTGTCGGTCAGCCAAAAAAAACTGCAAAAATTCATGACTTTTGTTTAGGCATTCCCTTTGGTAAGTGTTTCCTTGTTAGAGAATATGCATGTTAGGCAACATTACTGTTTAAGTTATAACACATTTCACTTATAATGTGCTTTGTAGGAGGGAATGTAGGGGACAGGGGTGATTCTTTTCTTTAATTTTACATTTCTTGGTCAAGTAATGTTATTGTTCCTCACAACCTAAACTATTCTTTCCAATGATGGTTAATGAAAAAGGAATCTTGGTCACTAACCACTGATTTGGGAATACCATGCAGCCTTAGCACATATCTTGAAAATATCTCAGTGACTCTCTTGCATATAAGGGTGCTTGAGTAACAAAGTTTTAGTAGCCTGTCATCAATACAAATAGAATGGCCTCATAGCCTCTCAAATTAGTTACACCCCATAATGAAATCTAAGGAATTGTCTTCCCAAATCTGTTTTGGAATCTCTGGCAGCTGTTAGAATCCAGAAGGTGTAGCTTCATATTTGTTTCTTTAATAGACATCACAGGACCTCACAAAATCCAAGTGCTTCTCTTCAGCCAATCGAGTAGGCATGGTAACGGAGTGGGTTTAGCTCTCTTTGTCCTCATGTCTGCCAAGGATGGGACTGCTTAAGTTTCCTAAAAGATGTGATGAAACACTTTCATCCTTTCTGTCGAGACTCTCCAATATGCCTTTATTCTCCTCCTTGCTTGAAATACACTTTTGCATACTAACATTGCAATAGTCCCTGTAATGCCCCTGCAACAAAAATCTCTTGGTCAACAGTCATCGAGTCCTCTCATCCAATTCCTCCACTTCTCATGTCATCATCAATAGCAAATGTGTTTGGGGGTTTAGAGTTGAAACACAATGTCTGATGCTGAGCTGGAAGCCACTCATGAAATACCCAACTATGCTCATTTGAGGATAAATGAGCTCAAAAGCCTTGATATACTTTTCTACCATGCCAGTTACCTCAAATGAGAGGGTTCTTCAGACGGATTCTCAAACTTCCTTCCTTGGTAACAATCAATATAAGCTCCTTTGAACTTGTCTCATGTTAAGCTTTTCTCTGTTTCTTGAAGGAGATTATACCACTATATAGTTGAACCTACTATTCTCAGTCTCGCCAGTTTTATCTTTACTTCCTCCAGTGTATTCTGTACATCAAATTATATTTCTGCCCTGGTGATCCATCTCACCTGATCAGTCCTTTCAAAACACCAGGAGATCCATGCCTTCACCTTATGAACTGACATCCCATACTTGTTCTCTGTTCTTCTTTATACAATGGCTGATGGCTGTTTACCAAACAACGTTGGGACTCCCTCCATATTATCCCCTTGACTAGGCTATGCATGCCTTTTCCAATCAAAAACGTAACCTCTTGAAATAAGAACAGTGCGGGTTCTCCATCATGGCATTAATAGAGGCCTGGAATTAAATCATTCCCACCTTGATAGAAGCCTGAAATTCCCCCATTCCCTGCACAGTGTTAGCTACTTTGACTTAAGATCTCCACCCTATGAGACAATTTTGGCAGCACGAAGAACCTTGCTGTCATCTTCATTCCATATTTCCACCAATGGTCCTTCCTCTAATCTGGCAGGTTGTACCAATGTTGGGATGCCAATCTAAGATTAGTGAGAAAAATTGTAAAGTGTTGTCCATTAAAAGAGCTTGGACAGAAAACAAGAGCCTAAGGCTCCTTTAGTGATTGTATTGCTGCCTCAAAAATTTCAAAATCCCCCATATCCCCAACAGCCTGCAACTTCCTCTTCCCCTTTTAACTAACCCATCTGCTCTCAACAGTGCCTAACCAACTATTGCCAGCTCAACTTTCTGACTAGCTCCTGCTAACTAACTAGCTTCTTGATCTCTCTTCTTTCTCCGGTAGTATTCTTTCTAGACCCTTGCTCCATCTCTGTTATTGTTCATTAACTGTTCTGTAACTGAACCTTGGGTTCTAAGAACTGGCCTAAAAAAAGGCTTGATATAGGCTAGTTTCATAGATTATAGCTTATTGAACTTTTTACATCTACTAGTTAGCTTAAAATGGAACATTTTGTTGATCTGGGTATGGTATTTGTGGGTGACCTTTTGTTTGCGACTTATGACAATATGGAAATGTGGTAAATTATTACACAACTTATAAGTGCATAACGAAGTGCTGAAAGTTTATATAATCAAGTATTCAAGTTGGCCTAAATGATGATATATCAAGTATTCAGTACAGAAAAAAAAAAAAAAAAGTTTACACCGTGCTCTAATAGGAAATTATCCCCACGCTGCCCCTTAAAGATGTCATATCTCATTTTATCTTTTGTTGTAGGTGGGTTTGTTTTAACTGGAGGGATTGTTGGATTCCTTTTTTCACGGAGTCCTGCAACACTGAGCAGTGGTGTGCTCTTTGGTGGTGCTTTACTTTTCCTCAGCACCCTTAGCTTGAAGGTTTGGAGGCAAGGAAAATCGAGTTTACCATTTATTCTTGGACAAGCAGGTACATGATTCTAGCAGCGTTAAAATACATTGGTCTTGGGGAAAAACTACTTAGAAGCTGCAACATAATCTTATTTGGATAATTTGTATTTATGCTCTTTTTTCTTATTTTGCAGCATTGTCAGGGCTTCTTATCTGGAAGAACTTCCAAAGCTACTCATTGGTAGTACATCTATTTTTACAAAAACTGTCCTTATGTTGTGCCTCATTTAATTGTCATTCTTATTTGCTTTTCTGGATGCAGGCGAAGAAAATATTTCCAACTGGCTTTAGTGCCATTATAAGGTATCTAAATGCATTGCTTTTATCATATTTAATTATATTTTGGTCTTTAAAACTGATATTTGTTCTTTTAGTCCCTCCGGTGTTAGATTGTACCAATTTTGGTCTGATTCCTTTATGCCTGCGCGAAATTTTTGTTTGCAGTTCTGCAATGCTCTGCTTTTATTTATATGTGCTTATCTCGGGAGGAAATCCACCACCCAAGAAATTGAAGCCATCTGCCAGCACTGCATGATGAGATAGTTAAGGTTATCCTATAGAATATGGGGATATAATATCTTATTTTTCTGTGAATTGCAATAAGGTTGTAAGCTAATTATAATTTGGCGTAGATGCTTTTGGAAATAGGTCAGCCACGAGGTACCAATGTGATTATTGCGTTAGATTCCTAGGCATTTTGTGACTAATAATATGAAATTTGATGGAAGAGCTGATTTGCTTGTTACAGCTACATAGTGTTGATACTCTGACTACATTTCGATTTTTTGGTAGCAAGACCTCGTGCATTTACATTGCTCTGGAAGCCCCTTCCAGAGATCCCAATGTAGTTTCGGGTCATTGAGATGATATTGATTGGGCGTATCCTAGATTCCTAGGCATAAGGTCACAATTGGTCGTATCCTAGATTCCTAGGCATAAGGTCACACCCTTTTGTGATTCATGCCACCGGAGGAAGTAGCCTATGTCACCATACCTAGGTGTCTTATGACATTCCTTGATCAAATCTGTAAGTTATTTTATTTTATTTATCAAAGCGGAACCCATTTTCTCATAATTTCTATCATTTATATTTTGTTCTATGTAGATCAAAATGTACTTTCAAGGTTTAAGATGGATCTACTGATATGAGAACCCAACATTATAGTTCACTACTGTTAGCAACATGCAACAATACTTTTACAAGAAAACTCACTATATTTTACTTAAATTAGTTAATAAATACTATGTTAGTCAATTAATTTCATTTATAAATTGAAAAGTCAAATTTCCCCGTTTCCTTCAATCTAATAAAATTTGTGTGCAGTGTGAATATACATAGGCATAACTTACACTTTTCTTCCCGTCCTAAAGAGTGTATTCTATTAATAGCAAGCTACGCCTTTAGAAGGATTAGGCTGTTGAAAAAATAACTTACATAAGATATTTTAATATTTTAATTATAGTCTTTAAAACTGACGTGAAGTGGTAATTGGTGGGTTGGCTGGCTGGTGTAATACAGTCGGTTTTTCGGATGAATCACTAAATCGGGATTTAGAAACCCAGCCGGTTTTTGACAATCTACTGTGCGTCTTACAGGGAAAAACAAAACAGTAAAAAAATGCTTTATTTAAGGTTCTATTGACAACTAAACCAACGTGATTAGATGATATAAGTATAACTAAAATATATTTTTTATACTGTCATTCATTTAAAATTATAACTTATTACTTGACAGAGCGTCGGTTTGAGTGAGTTAATTTTTTTAGTAAAAATATAATAAAGTTATGGTTGGCAGGAATCAAGCCATGGTGCTAAATGTTGAGAATGGTTTGCTAAACCCTTCAAGTTGTGCTGAAAGATGTCTTATTTTAAAAATAAAAAAAATTAATTCGTAATTAAAAAAATTAAAACTTTTAAGATTAACCAAAATAATGTTTAATTGGGCATGTATTTAACAAGTTTATCAATAAAAGTAAAATAAGTTTAACAATAATAAAACAAGTACACAATTTTTTAGTAAATAAAAAAAATTACAAATAAAATATCATACATCAACATCAATAAATAAAAATTAAAAAACATGTAAACCAACTTGACAAACCAACCCATCATTTAAATCATCGGACTATTAAGTTGAATTATATGGATTGGAAAGTTGAAAAATATAATCTAATCTTATTCATTTGAAATAGGTTACGGATGTGTTTGAATACTTATCCACATACATTTTCATGCACTCAAATGGAAAAGCATGAGTATGGGTAGATTGAGTTGAACGTACGTTTAAGTGTTTAACTTTTCTAAATAGTAAAACAAACATGCACTACATGGGTCTATCATTTGAGTTGAATCCATTTGTACACCCCTATTCTCCCTCCTCACTATGTAGTTACCTAAAAGAAACAAGAGGGTATTATATTAGGTTCTTGCATTGTCTATGACAAGTGTTATGTACAACTATTGAGAATTAAGATTAACCTTACACTTTATCTCATGAAAGACATGATGCTCGTTATGGATTAGCTGAAATGATAATCAAATTCAAATATGACAAAAAGGAGGCTAAGAGGTAAGAGAAAAACTTGCCTATGCAACATTCTATATACCTTCATTTACGTCATGGAGCAAGAAACTAATACAATTATGCAAGATACACTATTATATACATCTCTTAGTGACACACAAGTAAATTACATATTTTCCAAAATTTATTTGCAAATTTGAAATTTATAACTTTAAGATGGATCTTCTGGTCGAAAAACAACGTCGATGTAAACGTATAAGTGCACTATTACGTGCAGGGACGGAGCCAGGATTTCAATACTGGGGGTGCCATATAGGGGGTGCCATATAGTAATATACATATGAGTTTATATTAAAAATATGAGTTTATATTAAAAATAGGGGGTGCCATATAGTAATATATATGTATATAAAAAAAAATTAAAATTGTTGGGGGGGCCGTGGCACCCGTAGGTCCCCCCTTGGCTCCGTCCTTGATTACGTGGTAGTAATTCTAATTTTCCATGAATTTTTTATTTATTAATTAACGATGGAACTTTACTTTTTTTTTTTTGAGGATCGACGAATTAAATGATATTTTTGTTCCAATTTTTTTGTTTCTTTTTCTTCCTCTGAATCACACTTTTCCTTGTCATAATGGTTGATTTGTTATTAGTATCAATTATAAAAGTCACATTCTAGATGTATAAATGGCTTCTCTTTCTTGTGTTCATACTTTTTTTACTTTTGTTTCTAATTTTTATTTAGATATTTTACATATTTCAAGTAATATTAATTAATTTTTTTAATATTTTAAAAATGGACCAAACATTAAATTGATTTAAACACTAATTTAAAGTTCAATAATTGAATTGTGATTAAATCAATATTAATAAAATAATAATAATAACAGTTAATAATATATAAAATAATATTAAATAAATATAATATCATAATTTTATAACACTAAAAATTAAAATAAAATATCATTTATAAGTTCTTATTTACATATAATTTTAACATTTTCTTACTTTTTTATGTTTGATTTTTTTTTTTTTGGAATTTACTGCATTGCTTATTTTAAAAACATTTTTTTTAAAACTATCAAATTGAATTATTTAAAATTTTATAAGTTAATGTAATAAATATTTAAAATTTTGTAAGTTTCTTTATTTTTTAACAATCCTTTAGCAACGGAATATAAATCGATTGTTAAATTCATTAAATGGTATTACAACACAATTATAATATATAAAACATATTAGAGCATTCAATGGCAAGATCCCTGTCAAATTTAGCAATGCGAAATTATTAGTGACGAATTATGTTTGAGATGGAAACTTTCATCTCAAAGTCCTTCTCCAATCATATTCTATGAAAATATTGATGAAACTAGTGACAATATATTAAAGTGGGAGTTTTCCTTTGCAAATTTGGACACTTGGTCGCTAATTTAGCGGTGAAATATATTAAAGAAACATTCCATATTGGTAATTCTATGAAATAAATACCCACCAAATATTATCATATCTGCGAGAGAATAAATGTTTTTCATTTTTTCTAACGGTAAAAATACATGCTCTACTTATGACATATAGTCTAAAAAGCTATAAACTTATATATACTAATATATAAAGGATATTTTTTTAGTAACTATCGTAATTTTTATATTTTATTAATTATTATACTTTTTTATTTTAAAAAATTTTAAAAATAATATTTTTTTTATTAAATTCAAGAACTCAAAATTAATAGATTATTTATAACTGATGTTAGACCAATATATTTTTATTATTTAATTTATATTTTTATTTTATTTTTAAGAGGCACAAAGTGACTCAATTCACTAGTAAAAATAATGAAAATGTTTTTTCTAACACCCACAAAAAGACAAACACCTATCCTATACCCTTAAAAAAATATTTTTTTTACTTAATTAAAATAAATAAATAATTACTAATTCATTTTATCTTTTGTCCCGTAGCGTGGCCAGAAATGGGATTCCAAAAACTGATAATTTATAAATAAATACCCAGGCTGAGAATGTTTGTTATATCAATCCATCCGGCCAAATGGAAGAATGCATTTCAATTATTTCAAAAGTTATTATTTTCCATTTGGTTCAATATGCATATTCCCCATCACTGGGATATAACATGGAGCATTAGGATCAATATCAAATTAATGTTAGATGTTCAAAACTAGGGACACATATCACGAGTACTGTTTCGGTGGATGTTATCAATTGTGGGTGTGGAGGCATTATCTAATTGCGATCCATACCAAAAGTAAAATGCATTATGTACAAAGAAATTAAGAAGAAGAAAAAGAAAAAAATACTGTTGGACCATGGATGCCAATAATAGGTCATCTTATCTTCCAAGAACATGATTACCAAATTAAGCACAACCTACGATGGTGGCAAGAATAATATTGTCCCTTATCAATTGGACGAACGCATTCTAACATTGTCATGCTATGAGATGACACAACTATGTATTGCGTTGGTATGCCTAACCCATCTTGTTTTGGAGATGGTAAAAGAAAAGCTGATGATAGGGATCCCACATCCCACAATGAGCGTGAACTATCACCTCCAGGTAGTGAACAACATGTCTGTTTTTCAATGAATGGTACCCTCCATGGACCACATGCTCATTTAGGTTGCCTTTTAGGCTTTTAGCCACGTACATACATGTCTTTTTCTCTCTTGGAGACTTGCATAAGAGCAACTCCTAACCGAAGAAGTTGCTTGTTCCATGAAGTAACTCAAACCCCGATTTCTTGCTATTAGAGGATTCTGACGTGGTAACATGAGTTGCTTGAAGAAGAGAGAGTTGCTTCTTCAAGTAACCGTTCTTTACCAGATTTCAAGCAAATCTTATTGAACATATTTGAAAACGTTTCAAAAATAATAATGATGAAAATTAATTTCGTATAATGTCTATGTATTTACTATTGTTTTATTTTGTTTTTAATATCTAGTATTTTTTCTCGTAATTTATTTTCTTTTATTATAGTGCAATTATCTTTTTTAATAAAAATTTAAAATTTATTCATAAATGATTAGAAAAAAAATTTAAAAGTTGAATTTTTTAAAATTTCTTACCATTTGAATAAATTTGTGTTTGAGTTGCTTAATACTGACATGACATAGTAAAAATTACTTTTTATTTTTATTTTTCAACGCATAAAACAACTCAAATGAGTTACTTCTATTGGAGATGCCCTAAGTGTCTCATGATTAATTCTCATACTTCACCAAAGTTGT